ATAAACCAAAGATCTCGGTTCCTTTAGATATTTGTGCATATCGAATTGTAATTTCCTGAATTATGGCCCTTGATTGTAGGAAAAATCACTTTCTTTTTAGCTTGTTCTCTATCCATCTCTCGAAAATGTGGGCGTATCCTGCCTGGCAGCCGCTAAAGTTAATATCCGATTGACTTTAAATTTATATACAGTGTTTAAGGCCATGAGACGAAGAAGCCTATTGATTTTCAGCGATTTCTGATAATTACTGCCAGAGTTATGGCCCTTGATCACTTTGAAAAATTTTGTGGATGCTCTAGAGTTTAAAGTTAATATCCAGTTGACTTTAAATTTATACACAGTGTTTAAGGTCATGGCCCTTGATCACTTCAAAAAATCTTGTAAATGCTCTAGAGGCTAAAGTCCAATTGACTTTAAATTTATACACCGTGTTTGAGGTCATGAGATGAAGAATCATATTGATTTTCAGTGATTTGGGATAATTACTGCCAAAGTTATGGCCCTTGATCACTTTGAAAAATCTTGTGATGCCGCTAGAGGCTAAAGTTATCATCCGATTGACTTCAGATTGATTGAGACGAACAAGTATATTGATTTTCAATGAATTTTTATGACTTGAACAGCTAAATCTATGATGTTAAAAGTTTCGTATACTAAACGTTAGCATGGGGGAGAACAAATTCTAATGGATTTCTAATAATTACTTAATGAGTTGTTACTCTTAATCAGATTTTAGTGTATTGTAAATGTTTCATTACCGAAAAAAGTAAAAATATGCGACAACTCTTGGTGACTGCCCAGACGATTTAGATGCTGTGGGCGTATGTTTCTTTGCCTGGCAACCTATCTTTGTATTTATTGATGTCCAAGTTTTTGAGGAGTCCAAAGGATATATGCGAGCTTTTGATTAGCCATCAAAAAGATATTTATCCTGCTCATATTATGAACTTTGATTTTGAATCTTCTGATGAATATTAAGAATAAACTAATATCTAAACATGTCTCTAGTGTACTGTGTTTTTTTTATGTACATTTCCAGATCTCTTGAAAAGTACCATTATAATTTAATATTTTGAATGACGAAATTGGTACTGAACAAAAAAGCAATCTGATTAAAATACAGATGTATATTTTGTTACGTTTTTTTATACTTTCCATGGCCTACACTACATGAAGATCTGACAGGTTGTACTAGGAGGGTGCGTCAGGGCTCAAACGAGCGGCTTTTGGCCCTATGATGTCAGATATGGATTAATCAATCAGCGATGACGTTTCTAGGGGTTTACCCACAGTTCTGTGCAGAGCACGCCAAAAACTCGCCGTAACAGACCATTTCATTGGCTTATTCATTGGCTAACTAGATCGCTAGACGAGAAAACACTTTGCCAAGCTCTAAGAAAATCATCATTTAAATCAAGGTGAACTCATTTCCCGCCAATTTCCCCACCCCCTTCCATACACGCACACCTGCTACCCCCACCCCACCTCCCCACAAATCAAAACAGTTGTCCCGGGGCATCATATACACTTCTTTAGAGATTGACTTTCCTAGAAATTTATGTTTTATTAATATATAACAAGATCATCATTTATGTCAACATAATCACATTTTGCCCCAATTGTTAACATTGGACCCCCCCCCCCCCTCCATATCTCGAAAACCTCGGTCTCATAAATTCACAGCTTGGGTGGTGATCCCCCCCCCCTTCAGCTTCCAGACTATTACACTGAAATTTCTTTTCATCAAGAATTTGTGCCAAGTTGGCTTCAGGTGTTCGAATAGCCAAGTTATTCCTCTGCTTAAAAGATTGCCAAAAATGTTCCTCTGTCATTCCTCTTGTTCTCCACAACATTGGTTCAATAATATCATTTCTTGTTGCGAATTCCACAACCAGGGAACAACATTTATTTCTGGTTAGTCCAGGAAACTGAACTGCCAAAATCTTAATATGCTCTGCTAATTCAACTTTCATATCTGTAGAAAAAATCATGTTCTTTAACTGGCAGTTTTTAAAACCAAAAACGTCGCCTGGTTTATCAATATATCTTTTAAGGGTCATCCTTGAAATATTAAAGTCTTTAGCAGTTGCTCTAATAGTAATACTGGACCCTGTTTGAACTTGTATCTTGGCTCTCTCTAAAATATCTTGAGGCACACTGCATTCACTGCCAGTGTCACCCCCCCTCCCCTCCTCCCCCCCCCCTCCCTAACAACTGTCCCAACTCTTCCTCATGTCAACCATATTTGAAAATCTCATCTTTTTGTCGGTCGACAGACTTTTTGGGAGACACAATAACTCTCTTTCTAATTGAGCTTGAATGTTCAAACTTGGTATAGATGTTTATTAGGCCAATGCCTTGATGGAGTTCGAAGATGAACATTTTCTGCATAGGGTAAGAAGAGATGAGCAATTTGATTGGTTGATGCTTTGGGCCATGGTAACTTTAGTTCTGATTAAATGAGAGTGACGAAACCTTGGTGTATAATCAGTACCTTGACTAAGTTCGATAATGGGCATTTTCTGCTCAGGGTAAGCAGAGCGATAAGTAATTTGATTGGCCGAGACTTTGGAACACAATAACTCTCTTTCTAATTGAGCTAGAATGTTCAAACATGGTGTAGGTGTTTATTAGGTCAATGCCTTGATGGAGTTCGAGGATGAGCATTTTCTGCTTAGGGTAAGCAGAGATAAGCAATTTGATTGGTTGATGCTTTGGGGCATGATAACTTTAGTTCTAATTAAGTGAGAGTGATGAAACTTGGTGTATAGTTTCATTACATCAATACCTTGACTAAGTTCGATAATGAGCATTTTCTGCTAAGGGTAAGCAGAGCGATAAGCAATTTGATTGTCCGAGACTTTGGAACACAATAACTCTCCTTCTAATTGAGCTATAAAGTTCAAACTTGGTGTAGGTGTTTATTAGGTCAGTGCCTTGATGGAGGTCGAGGATGGGCATTTTCTGCTTAGGGTAAGCTGAGATAACCAATTAGATTGGTTGATGCTTTGGGACATGATAACTTTAGTTCTAATTAAATGAGAGTGATGAAACTTAGTGTATAGTTTCATTACATCAATACCTTGACTAAGTTCGATAATGAGTATTTTCTGCTCAGTGTAAGCAGAGCGATAAGCAATTTGATTGTCCGAGACTTTGGAACACAATAACTCTCCTTCTAATTGATCTAGAATGTTCAAACTTGGTATAGACGTTAATTGTGAATGCCTTGATGGAGTTCGATGATGAACATTGTCTGCTTACGGTAAGCATAGATAAGCAATCTGATTGGTTGATGCTTTGGGGCACAATAGCTTTAGTTTTGATCAAGTGAGAGTGATGAAACGCCGAGTATAGATTCATTATATCATTACCCTGACTAAGTTCGATGATGAGAATTTTCGGCTTAGACTAGAAGCGATACACGATTTGATTGGTCAAGACTTTAGAACATAACAACTATGTTTTTAATTGAGGTAGAATGTAGCAATGGTGATACTTCACGTAGCAATGATGATAATTCACGTGTCGCAAAAATGTAGTGCATATGGTTACTCTTATTATGAACAACGATATTCTAGCTGTGAAGTTAGTCCTTCATTTATTATTTATTACTAGGATTTAAGTCACAATTCTGTGGTCCATAATGCGGTAAGAGATGGTGTTAAACCAACAAATGTTACAAATATGCCATAAATAATTATATATTTATCTTCATTTCGTAGTTATTATTTTATCAAGGTACGTGTGAGGTACTGGAATGATTTTTCTACGGCTAGTTCAACTCTTTATTTTTGTCTTTAACCAAGTAAGACATTTCGATAATAAAAGGGAATATTTCATTAATAAATACTAGTATTTTATTTCTTAGTCCAATATATAATTTTTATACGCCCACATTTTCGCGCATATCGAACCATAAATTCCAGAATTATGGCCCCTGATTGTACGAAAAATCGCATTTTTAGCTTGTGGAACCCATAGAGGTCACAATTTTTATCCGATTTAAAAAACGTTACAATATATCACCGTTACACGCTAAGGGTGGTTGAATTCGAATTTCGTAAAAATCGGACCGAAACTGACGGACAAAATGGCCGCCCCTCGTTTGCAGGTCACAATTTTCATCTGATTTTGATGAAACTTGAAATGCATGTTTATAACCCACAGATCTCGGTTCCTTTCGATATTCACGTTTTTAACTTGTGGTCCCTGTAGAGGTCACAATTTTTATCCGATTTAAAAAAAAACGTGTGAATATATCATCATTACACACTAAGATCTTGGCTCCTTTTGATAATGGTGGATACCAGAACTTAACTTCCTGGATTATGGCCCCTGATTGTTCATTTGCGGATTCTCTAGAGGTCACAATTTTTTTTCCGATTTTAAAAACCATTTAAATACGTCACCATTCCACCATAATGAAGGTTGAATCCGTATTTCGGGAAAATCGGCATGAAACTGCCTGACAAAACGGCCGCTCTTTGTACGCAAATTGTTTAGAAGTGTGTAATACGAAGGTTGTGGACCCTCTAGAGGTCCCAATTTTTATTCGATTTTGATGAAACTTAAAACATATCTTTATGTCCCAAAGATCTCAATCCTTTTTGATATTGCCCCTGATTGTACAAAAAATTACGTTTGTTTTTAGCTTGTTCTCTATCCATCTCTTGCAAAATGTGGGCGTACCCTGCCTGGCAGCTGCTTGTTTCTGTACACCATGCTGACAAAGTGGTGTAGACACGTGAGTTCACAGTACCCTAAATAAAAAATATGAATTGTGAATTTAATTTGCAAAGTTTTCGTGCACTATCTAAAATGACAGACAGTGAAAATTTTGAAGTGGAAGCCCTGGTTCAGACCTATCATAAAGTGATGTGGTGGTCTGATGGACCAGTCATTTATATCAAAATTGCCTTATTGATACTGTATGTTTATTAGCTATTTGTCACATAGATTGCCCCGCAGATGGCAATTAATGAAGTTTTCTACTTTAGGTTTGGTTCATAAGTCTCAAATGTCAAAAAGTAAAATTGAAGATCCATCTGAGATGTTGTCTGTAGGAGAAACAGTTTACTGTAAAATAATATCAATAGAGGTAAGTGTCTGCTGATGAAACTGGATTTAAATTAAATCATTACTACTAGCCTGATGCTTTATAATAAAGCTAGTATATTATGGTGAAACAATATCATGGTCAAACTTTAAAGGGCAAGTCGGGGATCATGTGGCTAAGTGGGTAAGACGCTGGCTCGCTAACCTGGAGGTCGGGTGTTCGATCCTTGCATTGGCCAAGAAAGTTAATCCAGATTTTCCAACGTGGTTTCCCCTTGTCAGTGATGCAGGACGGAGGGCCTGACAAGGACAGCTGTCTAGTCCTTCAGATGGGACGAAGAACCGCGGTCCCGTGTATATATTGGCGTGCATGTAAAAGATCCCTTGTTAGTTGGAATTTGATATCAGAGTAGGCCGTAGCGCCGCTGCCCGGGCAAAATTTCCCTCATAGCACACTGTATGGCGTATGCCCGTCTTCATTAGCCCAGATTAGGAGCAGAACAGTAGGACATTAAACCCCATTTCATTTCATTTCATTTTTAAAGTCCCAAATGTCACATGACACTGTAAATAAAAGTGGGTTATTATTACACCAAATGCCAAAATGTCGATATATAGCATAATTTAGTTTGTCTGAAAAATTTTAATCAAAATATTAAGCTTTTCGCCAATTATCGTTAGGTATGCTTAACATGGTTATTTAAGAAATTTCATTCTTCAATTCTATGAATGAGTGACTTGGTCTTCATAATCGCAACAATCACTTACCACTATAACTTCGGTAAGTTTATAGACATAGTTATCTAGGTACTTTAATAACACAGAATTTGGCAACTTAAAAATTACGGCCAACCGCACATAGAAATTTAATGTTTACATTTCTTAAAAAAAGTATCTCAGAGCTGTAGATAGTTGTATGTGACTACGATAAAGATTTGCATAGATCTTTCACTAAGAATGAACCAGTTTGATTTACATAATAGCAAAGATTCAAATCTGGTATTCAATGGAGCATCCATTTCTAATGAAAAACGAAACGGTTTACCAAAACATTTTTCTCAATATAACTTTGTTAATTATAAGTATAAAATTCATCCCAATTTGACCACAACCACTTTAAAATAAAATAAATAAGGTAACTTATTTTCCGATTGCTTCCTTGTATTCAGTATTGTTTTTCTGTTTTATAGAAACAAGGACTTATGGCCTTACTTTGTAATTAATACACCTGAATTCTTTCGAACCCTTATAATGTTTCTCACTACTACTGAGGCTGTTTAGTTGTACATGGCTTTTTACTACATTTAACCAATATGGTTACTTGTATGTATTGTTCCTTCATTTTTGAGTGACGTCTGTAACACTACAGATCCAGGACTGTACAGCGCAGTGGACACTTACGGCTAGCCCCCGGATCCATTCACTTCATCTGATATAATATGTACGTTTGTTTGTGATTTCTGTGTATTATGTCTTGCCCGTAAATTTGTCTTGTGTAATTGTCTGTTTGTGGTGCAGTCCCCCTGCACTTACTAATAAAGAGTTCATGCTCCGTCAAATAATTTTTGTTAAATATTTTTTAGAATGATAAAGTTGCTTTATCTATGAAGATGGTGAGTCAAACAACTGGGGTAGATTTAGATCCAAATAATGTAGAACTCAGGTATTTATCATTTGTCTTTATTTATACACAGCATTTATTATTAATGGCTTTAAATTAGAGTGCTGTAACTTTATCATGTATTTATATTCAAATCTGTTTGAAGTTGACATTTAACATTTCAATACAAAAAGGACTTTAGCTTAAGTAAGATCACTACATTTTTCAGTCCAGGTTACACAATCTAGTTTGACAAAAATTACATGTTTTGGCATACCAGAAGTAGGGTTGCAAAGGGTGGGAACTTTCCAGGAATTTTGGAAAGTTTCCAGGGAACCCACCGTCAACAATTTCGCTCATAATTTTTATACACCCACATTTTCATGTGGACGTATATTGTCGTCGCCCCTGTCCGTCCGGACGTGCGTCCACAATTGGTTGTGAACAGTCTACAGGTCACAATTTTTATCCGATTTCAATGAAACTTGAAATATAGGTTTATCACCCTAAAATCTCGGTTCCTTTCGATATTGGCATCTATCGGACCGTAACTTCATGGATTATGGCCCCTGATTGTACAAAAAATCGCCCAAGTCCGTCCGGACGTCCGTCCGTTCGTTCGTTCGTCCGTCCGTCCGTCCACAATTGTTTGTGGACTCTCTACAGGTCACAATTCTTATCCTATTTTGACGAAACTTGAAATATAGGTTTATTCCCAAAAGATCTCGGCTGCTTTAGATATTGGCATGTATCGGATCGAAACTTCATGGATTATGGCCCCTGATTGTACGAAAAATCACGTTTTTAGCTTGTGGACCCTATAGAGGTCACAATTTTTATCCGATTTTTTTAAAACTTGAAATGTAAGTTTATAACCCAAAGATCTTGGTTCCTTTCAATATTCGCGCATATCGGACCATAACTGAATTATGGCCCCTGATTGTACGAAAAATCGCGTTTTTAGCTTGTGGACCCTATAGAGGTCATAATTTTTATCCGATTTAAAAAAACGTATTATAATATCACCATTACACCCGAAGGAAGGTTGAGTTCGAATTTGTTAAAATCGGCCCAAAATTGACAGACAAAATGGCCGCCGTTCGTTCTAAAATAGCATAAAAATATCGTATATCAAGGTTGTGGACCCTATAGAGGTCACAATTTTTATCCGATTTTGTTGAAAATTGATATGTAAGTTTATAACCCAAAGATCTTGGTTCCTTTCGATATTTGCGCATATCAGACAGCAACTTCCTGAATTATGGCCCCTGATTGTACGAAAAATCATGTTGTTAGCTTGTGGACCCTATTGAGGTCATAATTTTTATCGTAATAGTGTAAAAATATGGTATATCAAGGTTGTGGACCCTATGGAGGTCACAATTTTAATCCGATTTTGTTGAAACTTGAAATGTAAGTTTATAACCCAAAGATCTCGGTTCCTTTTGATATTTGCGCATATCGGACCGTAACTTCCTGAATTATGGCCCCTGATTGTACGAAAATACGTGTTTTTAGCTTGTGGACAGTATAGAGGTCATAATTTTTATCCAATTTAAAAAACCGTATTATTATATCACCGTCACACCCCAAGCACGGTTGAGTTCGAATTTCGTGAAAATCGGCCTAAAACTGACAGACAAAATGGCCGCCGTTCGTTCTCAAATAGCGTAAAAATATGGTATATCAAGGTTGTGGACCCTATAGAGGTCACAATTTTTATCCAATTTTGTTGAAACTTGAAATGTAAGTTTATAACACAAAGATCTTGGTTCCTTTCGATATTCGCGCATATCGGACCCTAACTTCATGAGTTATGGCCAGGGCTCTATAAAAGTTGAAAATGTGCCTGCAGGGTCATACTGAAACACAGGGATGTAGCCAGGATTTGGTAAGTGGTGTTTTTGGGAGGGGGGCGTGGTCTTTTATGAAAATTAAACCCTTCTTGGTGTATTTTCAGAGCATCTGCTGCCTTTTGTATTTGGTTCAGTGCAAATCAAATTTCCATTTATATATTCAAATTTTACCAAATTCACATAATTTTCATCAATGATACAGGGATCTAAAAACTTTTTGACACCACCCGACCGAGCATAAAATTGTCCCGCCCCACTCTGTTTCTCTGGATAGATAAGTTGAGGACCTTTCGGTATTTGTTGTTTTGTAAATTTTTTTTCAAATATTACTTTATTACTTTGAGATTAAAAATTAAAACGATTCTTAAAACGGTGTTTGTGTTTTATTTGAGCACAACGAATTATGACAAAAGGTAGATATTGATAATTAAAACATGTTGTATTATTTTGACTGGTTTGTAAAGTTGTTGTACGTGTCTCACGAATATTATTATTATTATGGTGGAATGAGAATCAGGTCAGGCAGAAACTGAGAAAGCTCTCATCGTCCTCCTAGTCCTATTCTCGGGCCGTAGAAAATCCACGGTCAACACAGGTAAGAAATAAAATAAGATCATCGTGAAAATTTGCAGGCACGTGTTGGACAATTACGACATTCAAACCTTTAACATTGGAGTGCCGTAAATTGGTCTGGGTGACCTATTTCGGCAAATAAACAAATAAAAAGACCGCAGAATAATTGTAAAATGAATAGACCTAGGCCTACACATCTTCTAAGTATAAATAAACAAAATACCAATACATCTTTCTTTAAACTAATTTGGGATGATAGGGTCTACTACGGCACACAAAAATGAATTATGCCGTGACAGACATGGTTTGCGTACGTCGGCTTTTACCATGGCTTTGCCGGTTAATTGCCGTGGTAAATTTCGCGTGCCAAGTTTGTGTACAGAGAAGGACGAAGGGGGTTTAAATACGACTGGGCCTTTTTCGATTTTTTCTTTGTGCTGGGCAGCAAAAAATAGTGCCGGACGCATCCGCCGCCCGGTGTGGCTACATCTTTAAAAATGTGCCTGCAAAAAATTCTTTTTCAAGCAAATGTGCCTGCGCACGCCATGCGCATGTGCGCGGAAATATCGATGCCTGATTATGGCCCCTGATTGTACGCAAAAACGCGTTTTTTGGCTTGTGGACCCTATAGAGGTCATAATTTTTATCCTATTTAGAAAAACGTGTGAATATATCATTGTTACACCCTAAGGACGGCTGAGTTCGAATTTCGTGAAAATCGGCCCAAAACTGACAGACAAAATGCCTGCCCTTCGTTCTCAAATAACGTAAAAATATGGTATATCAAGGTTGTGGACACTATAGAGGTCACAATTTTTATCCGATTTTTTTGAAACTTGAAATGTAAGTTTATAACACAAAGATCTCGGTTCCTTTCAATATTCCCGCATATCGGACCGTAACTGCATGAATTATGGCCCCTTATTGTATGATAAATCGCGTTTTTAGCTTGTGGACCCTATAGAGGTCATAATTTTTATCCAATTTAAAAAAATGTATTATTAGGCTACACAAAATAAATGTCTTGTTTCTCGGGCAACTGACAGCTGAAACTGTAGGGGGGGAGGGCGGTTTATTTTTTTTTTTATCTCATTTCTGGCTAGAGGATGGTGCAAAATAAAATGTGCCTATTGTTGAAAATTGTTGGGGCGGGAGGGCGGCCTTGTATTTTTTTTTTTTTTTAATAAGAAAGTCATTACTTGTCTACGGTTTTGCTTTCAGTTATATATTATACATACTTAGAACATAAACCCAAAAATCAAGTCTACTCAAACACTGAACACTGACTGAAAGGAAAATAATTTTCCATATTTAATTCACGTAATGTAGCTTACTAATGGTAATAGTGACAACCATAATTGAAATTGGTTTAAAATAAAATTCCGTACGACTATTAATAGCCGTCCATAATAACGACAATATTTTAAAGAGTAAGCCTCTGTCAGCATGTGTATCATCATCATCATCACGGTAAACGACACTTCGATCTAAATCTAGTATCGCTGGTTTATAATGATTGACCTAATTCCAACCAATGTCACGTGTCATCGGGATATGACTGTTTCTCAGGTTATTCGGTGTGTTTCTCAGGATATTCGGTGTTCTATCTGGGGTTTATATCGAATGACTATTTAAATTTAACTAACAACTCGTCAGTAAAACCATCAAATGTGTAATCCAATTATTATTTTCCGGATTATCAAAACTACCGTTAAATGTGCTAATGACCCAGATTCTGACTAAGGTATGGTGACTATCATCGTATCGTATTCGTAGCCACAAGTTATAATAATTAACCTGTTCTACGATTCATTGTTTTATAAGTAGGGTTTTTTTAAACATGGACCGACTGAAGCCGGCAATAATGAGCCGATTAAGATCGAATGATTGAAATACATTGCATTGTTGTCAATGACTTTCGGTGTTTAACACGATTCAAATTCTAGTTCACAAGGGGAGGTAATTAAAATCACGTGATACAAAAATGGAGGTTCTTTCGATATCAATAAAAAAGACCCTTAAATGAGCGTTTACATCTGAATCAGTTTAATACATTTGAATGGATATTCACGTATGGGGCATGTAGATACATGCGGCATATTTTTTTTATGACTTGCTTATCGATGTTCGGGCGGGCGTTACATATTTTTTTTTTTCGTCAAGACTAATAAATAGGCCGCTTGCGCAACCAATTTTGCGTGCGGGCGGTGCCCGAGAAACAACTTATTTTATTTGTGTTGCCTTATATCACCGTTAAACCCTAAGGACGGTTGAGTTTGAATTTCGTGAAAATCGGCCTAAAACTGACAGACAAAATGGCCGCCGTTCGTTCTCAAATAGCGTAAAAATATGGTATATCAAGGTTGTGGACCTTATAGAGGTCACAATTTTTATCCGATTTTGTTGAAACTTGAAATGTAAGTTTATAACCCAAAGATCTCGGTTCCTTTCGATATTCGCGCATATCGGACCGTAACTTCCTGAATTATGGCCCCTGATTGTACGAAAAATCACGTTTTTAGCTTGTGGACCCTATAGAGGTAACAATTCTTATCTGATTTTGATGAAACTTGAAATAATATAGGTTTATCTCCAAAAGATCTCGGCTGCTTTCGATATTGGCATGTATCGGATCGAAACTTCATGGATTATGGCCCCAGTTTGTACGAAAAATCACGTTTTTAGCTTGTGGAATCTATAGAGGTCACAATTTTTATACGCCCACATTTTCATATGGACGTATATTGTCGTCGCCCCTGTCCGTCCGGACGACCGTCCACAATTGTTTGAGGACTCTCTACAGGTCACAATTCTTATTAGATTTTGACGAAACTTGAAATATAGGTTTATCCCCAAAAGATCTTAGCTGCTTTCGATATTGGCATGTATCTGATTGAAACTTCATGGATTATGGCCCCTGTTTGTACGAAAAATCACGTTTTTAGCTTGTGGACCCTATAGAGGTCACAATTTTTATCCGATTTTGTTGAAACTTAAAATGTAAGTTTATAACCCAAAGATCTCGGTTTATTTCAATATTTGCGCATATTGGTCTGTAACTTCCTGACTTATGGCCCCTGATTGTACGAAAAATCACGTTTTTAGCTTGTGGACCCTATAGAGGTCATAATTTTTATTCGATTTAAAAAAACGTATTATTATTTCACCGTTTAACCCTAAGGATGGCTGAGTTCGAATTTCGTGAAAATCGGCCCAAAATTGACAGACAAAATGGCTGCCGTTTGTTTTTAAATTGCGTAAAAATATGGTATATCAAGGTTGTGGACCCTATGGACCCTATCCATCTCTCGAAAATGTGGGCGTGTCCTGCCTGGCAGACGCTGGTTGATATGATATAGTACACCTACTCATTAACCAGCAATATTATTTGATAATATTATTCATACTCAAAGCTGGTATCATTTTCCAGCTGGTAATCATAAGTAGAACATTTATCCGTGTTGGGATGGTAAATTGAATATCCTTTTCGACATCTGTTTGAGTTCACATATTTTTAATTCGAAACGAAGCAAAACACCCTCTGAATTTTTGATATGATATAGTACACCTACTCATTAACCAGCAATAAAAATTTCAGTCGAATCCATTCAGTCCCATATCGATTTTTGTTTAGTTTAAAAAAATAGCTTAAAAATATGATATTTCTGTGCTTGCTCACTCGACAAAAAATCCTATCACTGAATTGAGACCAGATTTGGAATCAGCGTATAGGTTTACAAAAAAATACAAAATTTCAAGTAATTTGGAAATTATTGACAGTTTTTCATTATTCTGGGTGCACCGGTTTAGTAACACCCCACTTCGGAAAAATGTCTGCAAAATCTTTGAGTTCCCCCGCTGGTCGAATTGACGTGGAAGGACCCTTAAGTTATTTTACATAATTTTTTTTTGTTGAATGCCTGTATTATTTCAGTTTAGACGAAAAAAAGAGAAGACAGTTTTTTAAGAAAGAAAGAGAAAAGATAGAACTTGGTGCTGTATTAAATACAACTTGTCGTAGATGTGGTGGACATGGTAATTATAATCTGTTTATAAATTTGTAAAACAAGAAAGCAAAAGCAAGAAATTAATGCATTAAATCTGACCTACTTATAGTTGTCTGGTTTATTTCTGCTTAGTTAAAATTACAATAACCAGGCCTTGTCATTTCTTTTGCGTCCATTTTTATACGCCCACATTTTCATGTGGACGTATATTGTCGTCGCCCCTGTCCGTCCGTCCACAATTTGTTTGTGGACTCTCTACAGGTCACAATTCTTGTCCGATTTTGACAAAACTTGAAATATAGGTTTATCCCCAAAAGATCTCGGCTGCTTTCGATATTGGCATGTATCGGATAGAAACTTCACGGATTATGGCCCCTGTTTGTACGAAAAATCATGTTTTTAGCTTGTGGACCCTATAGAGGTCACAATTTTTATCCGATTTTGTTGAAACTTGACATGTAAGTTTATAACCCAAAGATCTCAGTTCCTTTAGATATTCGTGCATATCGGACCGTAACTTCCTGAATTATGGCCCCTGATTATACGAAAAATCAGGTTTTTAGCTTGTGGACCTTATATAGGTCATAATTTTTATCCGATTTAAAAAAACGTATTATTATATCACTGTTACACCCTAAGGAAGGTTGAGTTCGAATTTGGGGAAAATCGGACCAAAATTGCCGGACAAAATGGCCGCCGTTTGTACACGAATAGTGTAAAAATAGGGTAAATCAAGGTTGTGGACCCTTTATGGGTCACAATTTTAATTCGATTTTGATGAAACTTGAAATGCATGTTTGTAACCTAAAGATCTTGGTTCCTTTCGATATTGTAGCATATTATTATCTGATTGTAACTTCCTGAATTATGGCCCCTGATTATACGAAAAATCGTGTTTTTAGCTTGTTGACGCTATAAGCTAAAATCGGGGAAAATCGGACCAAAATTGCCGGACAAAATGGCCGCCGTTTGTACGAGAATAGTGTAAAAATAGGGTAAATCAAGGTTATGGACCCTGTATGGGTCACAATTTTAATTCGTTTTTGATGAAACCTGAAAAGCATGTTTATAACCTAAAGATCTTGGTTCCTTTCGATATTGTCGCATATTGGATCGTAACTTCCTGAATTATGGCCCCAGATTGTACGCAAAATCGCCTTTTTATACACCCACATTTTCATGTGGACGTATTATGCCGTCGCCCCTGTCCGTCCGTCCGGACGTCCACAATTGTTTGTGGACTCTCTACAGGTCACAATTCTTATCCGATTTTGACGAAACTTGAAATATAGGTTTATCCCCAAAAGATCTCGGCTGCTTTCGATATTGGCATGTATCGGATCGAAACTTCATGGATTATGGCCCCTGATTGTACGAAAAATCACGTTTTTAGCTTGTGGACCCTATATAGGTCACAATTTTTATCCGATTTTTTTGAAACTTGAAATGTAAGTTTATAACCCAAAGATCTCAGTTCCTTTAGAGGTCATAATTGTTATCCGATTTAAAAAAACGTATTATTATATCACCGTTACACCCTAAGGAAGGTTGAGTTTGAATTTCGTGGAAATCGGCCCAAAATTGACAGCAAAATGGCCGCCGTTCATTCTCAAATAGCGTAAAAATATGGTATATCAAGGTTGTGGACCCTATAGAGGTCACAATTTTTATCCGATTTTGTTGAAAATTGAAATGTAAGTGTTTATAACCCAAAGATCTCGGTTCCTTTCGATCTTCGCGCATATCAGACCGTAACTTCCTGAATTATGGCCCCTGATTGTACGAAAAATCGCGTTTTTAGCTTGTGGACCCTATAGAGGTCATAATTTTTATCCTATTTAAAAAAACCTATTATTATATCACTGTTACACCCTAAGGAAGGTTGAGTTCGAATTTCGTGAAAATCGGCCCAAAATTGACAGACAAAATGGCCGCCGTTCGTTCTCAAATAGCGTAAAAATATGGTATATCAAGGTTGTGGACCCTATAGAGGTCACAATTTTTATCCGATTTTGTTGAAACTTGAAATGTAAGTTTATAACCCAAAGATCTCAGTTCCTTTCGATATTCGCGCATATTGGACCGTAACTTCCTGAATTATGGCCCCTGATTGTATGAAAAATCGAGTTTTTAGCTTGTGGACCCTATAGAGGTCATAATTTTTATCCGATTTAAAAAAACTTATTATTATATCACCGTTACACCCTAAGGACGACTGAGTTCGAATTTCGTGGTGAAAATCGGCCAAAAAATTGACAGACAAAATGGCTGCCGTTCGTTCTCAAATAGCGTAAAAATATGGTATATCAAGGTTGTGGACCCTATAGAGGTCACAATTTTTATCCGATTTTGTTGAAACTTGAAATGTAAGTTTATAACCCAAAGATCTCAGTTCCTTTCGATATTCGCGCATATTGGACCGTAACTTCCTGAATTATGGCCCCTGATTGTATGAAAAATCGAGTTTTTAGCTTGTGGACCCTATAGAGGTCATAATTTTTATCCGATTTAAAAAAACTTATTATTATATCACCGTTACACCCTAAGGACGACTGAGTTCGAATTTCGTGGTGAAAATCGGCCAAAAAATTGACAGACAAAATGGCTGCCGTTCGTTCTCAAATAGCGTAAAAATATGGTATATCAAGGTTGTGGACCCTATAGAGGTCACAATTTTTATCTGATTTTGTTGAAACTTGAAATGTAAGTTTATAACACAAAGATCTCAGTTCCTTTCGATATTTGCGCATATCGAATTGTAATTTCCTGAATTATGGCCCTTGATTGTAGGAAAAATCACTTTCTTGTTAGCTTGTTCTCTATCCATCTCTCGAAAATGTGGGCGTATCCTGCCTGGCAGCCGCTGGTTTAGCTTGTGGTCCCTCTGAAGGTCACAATTATTATCCGATTTAAAAAAACATTTGATTATATCACTGTTACACCGTAATGAAGGTTGAGTTCGAATTTCGTGAAAATCGGACCAAAATTGCCGGACAAAATGGCCGCCGCTTGTACGCGAATAGTGTAAAAATATGGTATATGTCAAGATTGTGGACCCTGTAGAGGTCGCAATTTTAATTCGATTTTGATGAAACTTGAAATGCATGTTTATAACCTAAAGATCTTGGTTCCTTTCGATATTGTTGCATATCGGATCGTAACTTCATGAATTATGGCCCCTGATTATACAAAAAATCGCCTCTTTTAGCTTGTGGTCCCTCTGAAGGTCACACTTATTATCTGATTTTAAAAATCGTTTGAATATATCACTGTAACACCATAATAAAGGTTGAGTTCAAATTTCCTGAAAATCAAACCAAAACTGCTGGACAAAGTGGCCGCCGCTTGTACGCGAAAGGTGTAAAAATATGGTATATCAAGGTTGTGGACCCTGTAGAGGTTACAATTTTAATCCGATTTTGATGAAACTTGAAATGCATGTTGATCTTGGTTCCTTTCGATATTTGCGCATATCGAATTGTAACTTCATGAATTATGGCCCTTGATTGTAGGAAAAATCATTTTCTTTTTAGCTTGTTCTCTATCCGTCTCTCAAAAATGTGGGCGTATCCTGCCTGGCAGCCGCTGGTTTTCATTTGTTTAATTTGAAAATATTCTGGGGTAGACCTTCCTTAACTTCATTATGAAACATAACGGCATTGATTGAAAGTCATCTTCATTATTTCTTGACCATTCTAAAGCTTTGTCTTATTTTGTAGGTTTGCGAATAGTCTCACGGGACGAGATCTAAGATGGCGAACCTCGTGTAAACAACCTCTGGCAATATGATATATTTCATGATACAAATGTTGTTGAAGTGTTGTGATAGTTCACTCGCCCAAATTAAATGACTTCAGTGCTGTATCAGATATCCATCAACTATGTCAAAAAGCGATTTTTCTCATCACATACCGCCAGAGCAATTAATGTACCAGATTATCAAGTTTTCAAGCAATATAGCTATCCATTACAGAAAAAAAATTCAAGATTTCATTGTAGGAAACAATGCTTAATTTGTAAAATTTTCTTGGGGGCCCTGGAGAAACACTAGATACACCACTGGTTCTTGTACACATTTACAGGAGGATCTCCTGGCATTTTCATTTGGCAGTGCCTAAACAACCCACCCATCTGTCGTTTTAGAAATAAATAGGATACATCAGGCATTTATGCCAATAAAGATTTATGTTCTCCGACTTCAGGTAGCATTAATTTGATGACACATTATTTTCTGATCTTACAGTATTTGGATTTATAAATCAACAATAAAGTTTTTATTGACTTTTTTATTAATTGAAGAAGATGGAATTATTGAAGATCTTTTATAATGGTCTTTCATGTAGATTCATTACAATTTTTAATCTGATTAATAATGAATATTATTCGAATAACTTTTTTATACCTCCACATTCATCATTTTGGCGTATATTGCCGTCTTCCCTGTATGTTTGTGTCTGTCTGTGTGTTCGCCTACAGGCCACAATTCTTAAGTGATCATCTTGAAACTTTACATACTTATTTCTTATACACTAAGGATGATCCTTATCGTTTTTAGTGCATGCACGACCCCTAGGGGCAGAAAAGCCATGCCTATTTCTTTAATTTGTTTGTTTGTCGTCTACAGGCCGCATTTTTTAACGTATCATCTTGACTTTGTACCCTAAGGAACATCACTATCGTTTGCTGTGCATGTCCAATCCCCAGGGGCCGAGCCACACCAATTTTCTTTTTGTATGTCTGTGTGTCACCTACAGGCCATAATTCTTAATCAATATGAGTTCCTTATAACCTAAGGATGATCACTATTGTGTTTGGTACGTGCCGGACACCAGTGGCAGAGCCACCCCCATTTCTTGTATTTATTGGTTTGTCATCTACAGACCGCATTTCTTAACGTATCACCAAGAAACTTTGCATACTTATTCCTTCTATCCTAAGGAACATCCCTATTGTTTGTTGTGCATGCCAGACCCCCTGGGACAGAGCCAGGCCCAATGTTTGTGTGCCTTGTGTTTCGCCTACAGGCCGCAAGTCTTAACAGATCCTTTTGAAACTTTGCATACTTTTTTCCTTATACCCTAAGGATGACTCCTATTGTTTTTTCGTGATTGCCCAACACCCTAGTACAGAGCCATGCCCAATGTCTGTGTGTATTGTCTTTTGCCTACCAGCCACAATTCTTAATGGATCGTCTTTGAACTTAGGATATGTATTCCTTATAGCCTAAGGACAACAACTGCATTTCCCGACCCAATTTTTGTGTTTATTGTTTACAGACCGCAATTCTGAATGGATCAACTTGGTACTTGGCATATGTATTCCTTATAGCCTAAGGGCTCAACTATTGATTTTGGTGAATGCCCTGACCCCCAAGGGCAGAGCCACGCCCAATTTTTGCCTTTAGCGCCCGAAGGCCACAATTCTGAATGGATTATCTTGGAACTTGGTATACTTATTCCTCATACCCTAAAAACGGCAACTATTGATGTTGATATTTTGTTTGTAAATGTTATACAGATTGCAATTATTAATAGATTTGGATCCAATTCAGAATGATCCAGCATAGGGTTGTACCTGTATATGTATTGTTCCATGTCCAACCCCCAGGGACAGAGCCACACCAAATTTTTATACGCCCACATTGAAATGTGGTCGTATATTGTCGTCGCCCCCGTCCGTCCGTCCGTCCGCTTTCTGTCCAGCGTCCACAATTGCTAGTGGACGCTCTAGAGGCTAAAGTTAATATCCGATTGACTTTAAATTTATATACAGTGTTTAAGGCCATGAGACGAAGAAGCCTATTGATTTTCAGCGATTTCCGATAATTACTGCCAGAGTTATGGCCCTTGATCACTTCAAAAAATCTTGTGGACGCTCTAGAGGCTAAAGTTAATATCTGGTTGACTTTAAATTTATACACAGTGTTTAAGAACGAGTCTGTGAGAAGACCATGCAAATTCTGCAAAAAGTGATAAGGCAGCAGGAAACCGATTTTGATCAAACTTGGTGGTTGGTACCCCGGGGGCCCCCAGACCCCACAGAAAATAAAGTAGGTCTCTGCTCCGCCTGATTGCGGAGCTTGGTCGCCCCGATTTTTGGGGTTTAAAACGACGCTATTTTCAGTGAGAAAAATACCATACTTTTGACGGCAACTGCGGCTTCGGTACACATTTTTCGAGACTGTTCATAATGAAGTATGAACCACCTTGGGTTCCCCTCAATATATGCCCAATATCAACGAAGTTCAAGTTGGAGTGTAGAAATGAGACTAGTTTTAAAAACCTAGGTATCCAAAACACTGAAATTAGACCCATTTTAAAACGCGTTTTTCTCGACTGCGGCGGGGTGCATGGTCGACATCGACCTTGAGGGCTGAAGTATATTAGTGACACATAATTTGTCTGAAAAAAGTTTCACTGCATCGGATCTATGCAAATCACAGGAACCCTGGGAACTTTGGGTATTTACTCGCTTTAGAAGGTATTTTTTGATTGATTATCTTGATCTCTATTGATTTATCTTGATCTTAATTTCATTTCCACTCTGATAATGTTTCAGAAATCATGGCTCTTATAATATCCCGCCTCCGGTCAGGTGTCTGGGCTGTTTGTTTGACTGGTATCCAGCGATGCCCTAATCCCTTTGCAAGAAAAAAAAGTGAAAGTTTTTTTATTTCAATATTATGTGATTTTAGCCTCTAAAATGGCGTTTTCCACGCTAAAGTGCTCATTTTCTGAGCGGACTAAACACATAAAATGTGGTACGGTGAACAAGTACCCGAATGAACGTTGTGTTGTTGCGCTCCGCGCCTGTACAAAGGATATTACTATGTATTTTCATTTAGTGTGTTGAATCCAGTGTCCTTTTTCACGAGTACACTGTATAAAGCGAAACGGTGTGAAATCAAAAAATTCGAACCGAATGGTGAGGCCTATATGTATTACGAGTTATAATATTGCTAGTAACTGTATATGTATGATATGTACATAATATATATGGAATACTATTCAAATTAATGATATCTTTACATTTCGTATATTTCTTTTTATCATCGTCTCATATACTCAGATCAAGTTTGCGGCGATGTTTTTGGCCATATTCCCTTGACGTCTCTGTAAAAACGTGTGGTAATGACAGAATCGTAATGTACATGTGATGACCTTTTCAGCGATATGTCACATGGGTATATTAGTGTCAAGTCCAAGAAACCGGAAGTGACATCACTGATACCGGAAGTGCCCTTCTGGGCTTTGTATTACCGTGGGGAAGCTACATTCGAAATTTCATCTTGATGTATGGCAGAAAAGTTGACAATAACTTAACTTACATCGTATCCGAAAGTGTCGTAATATCTGCCGAGTGTGCCTACTTTCAACACTCGCTCCGAAAAACTGGGGCGAGCTGCATCCAATATTATTGTTGATATATATAGTGGAGATAAAGTACTAAAAGCACATGTATTCACCCTCGCTCCCACCCCCGCCGCAGTGAAGAGAAACGTGTCGAAACATAGCCTATTTTATTTGATGCCATGGACTTCATGTATCGAAACTCTAACCCAGGCTCTATGGCTGGATTAAAGTGAAAATAATTTTGTGGAAAATTTCAAGGGACAGTAGGCCTACAAAATCCCTAAAAAGAATTTCGTTCAGGTGAGTATCCGTTGCATGAGTGAGACTTAAAATTTAGTTAAGAAATGCATTAAAATTAGCCATTATTTTTAAGAAAATAACGAAAAATCATTTCTGTGGGTACTGGTGGGATTTGGATCGCAATATGACCGCATGTGCTTCTGGGGGTCCTAAGGAACCAACAGTGGTGGTATGGTCCGGATTCATGATTTAGGGCCTTGTCACATTTTGCATGCTTTTCTCACGAACACGTTCTTAAGGTCATGAGACGAAGAAGCCTATTGATTTTCAACAATTTTCGATAGTTACTGCCCTTGATCACTTCAAAAAATTATGTGGAAGCTCTAGAGGTCAAGGTTAATATCCGATTGACTTTAAATTTATACACAGTGTTTAAGGTCATGAGACGAAGAAGCCTGTTGATTTTCAGCGATTTCCGATAATTACAGCTAGAGTTATGGCCCTTGATCACTTTGAAAAATCTTGTGGACGCTCTAGAGGGTAAAGTTAATATCCGATTGACTTTAAATTTATACACAGTGTTTAAGGTCATGAGACGAAGAATCCTATTGATTTTCAGCGATTTCCGATAATTTTTGCCAGAGTTATGGCCCTTGATCACCTTGAAAAATCTTGTGGAAGCTCTAGAGGCTAAAGTTAATATCCGATTGACTTTAAATTTATACACAGTGTTTAAGGTCTTGAGACGAACAAGTATATTGATTTTCAATGAATCTTTATGACTTGAACAGCTAAATCCATGATGTTAAAAGTTTCGTATGCTAAACGTTAGCATGGGGTAGAACTTTATAAAAACCGAACAAATTCTAATGGTTTTCTGATAATTACTTAATGAGTTGTTACTCTTAATCAGATTTTAATGTATTATAAATGTTTCATTACTGAAAAAAGTAAAAATATGCGACAACTCTTGTTGACTGTCCGGATGATATAGCTGATGTGGGCGTATGTTTCGTTGCCTGGCAACCTATCTTTGTGTTTTTTGTCTACAGACTGGAATTATAAATGGATCATCTTGGAACTTGGCATATTTTTTCCTTATACTATAAGGATAGCAACTAATTATTTTGGTGCATGTCCCGACCCCCAAGGGTGTGGTACCACACCCACTTTCTTGTTAGGTAAATACTCTACAGGTTGCAATAATTAACAGATTTTGTTCAAATTCAGCATATCAATCATTTCAATAACAGGGTGGTGGTACCTATTTATATTGTTCCATATCCAACCCCCAAGGGTAGAGCCACGCCCAATTTTGTATTTATCGTCTACAGGATGCAATTCTAAATGGATCTTCTTGGAACTTTGCATATTTATTCCTTATACAGTAAAGACAGCAACTATTTATTTTGATGCATGCCCCGACCCCCTGGGGCAGAGTCACACCCACTTTTTTGTTAATATTTTGTCTGTATATTTGGTAAAACAAACCCAACGCCTAGCCTTCTTTGCCTCTTGTCATATTACAGCCATTTCATATTTCATTCATTCTCTTCATTTTAAAAAGTACCATATCAATCAAAGCAGGAATGTGGATGTATATTGCAATGTTAGCGATGCTCTTGTTATTTTGTTGGGGGGGGGGGGGGGATGGCTGAATGGTTAGCGTGAGCGCGCTGTATCATAAAGTCTGTCATTGAGTCGACTGGCGTGGTTTCAAATCCCCGGTTGTACGTGACAAGGAGTAGGGTCGCCTGTCCAACCTCGTGGGTTTTCTCCGGGTCCTCCGGTTTCCTCCCACTGCTAAAGACCCCTATGCGCAAGCGAACTATTGAAATAAAATTAAACCATATGTTAGTCCCGAAATGACCTAGTTTGTGTCGAGTGGAAGTTAAACCCCATTTCTCCCTCTCTCTGTTATTTTGTTTCTTCGATATTCTGTATTTAATATTTTACAGGACTGCATGTGTAGAAAAATCAAAACTTAATTTTCAGATTTTTCCAAGCCACAAAATTTATATTCATATTAAATTTGCCCTATAAATTTCAGGTCATTTTGCTCAAGATTGTTATGTTATTAAAGGCAATAAACGTTATGATCTAGTTCCAGAAATAAACGAGGCTGACATACTTCCAACTTCTCAATCACCCCAAAAATCAGACACGAAAAAAAAGAAAAAAAAGGTGAGTTCAATCCACAATTTTTTATCATTTATCAAATATTTTTTACTGATCTTGATGTAATTTTGGTATTATTTTTTAATTGTTTACAGGAAAAGAAACATAAAAAAGAGAAAAAGAAGAAAAAAGTGTCTAATCCAGGTAGTGATTTAGATCACAATAGAAGACATGTTAGTATTCACTAATATTTAATATATTAAATTTGAATAACCAAGAGGTCTTGAAAGTGAATTGAAGCTGAAGTTTTACAGCTTACACATTGACATTTGTCTACGTTAAGTTGAAGTATACATCAAAACAAGAGAGCCGAAAATGCACACAAACATACATTATCTTCAAATTCTCTTTCATCACTTTGTCAGTAAAATATTTTTAGAAGTAGAAACATATTAGTATTCAAATGAGCCTCTATATATTGTAGTTAAATCCATTTTATTTTTTTGCAGAAAAAGAAGAAATCACACAAAAAAGATCAAAAGAAAAAATGCTACAGTAGCTCTAGTGAAGGATGAGGTGTGAGAATCAATGTGATGGGATATTTTTTTTGTACTAAATTTATTATTTTTGGCAATATCAACATTGAAAGCATTGAAGAACCAAACATTGCCATTCTGTAATGTTTGAAAATAATTGAAGGATATAAAGTGTGATGAAATTATTATATGTATGTAAATGAATTTTTGACTTTGTTATGAATCCTTGTTCCATTTTTATACCCCAACATGGAAATGTGATTGTATATTGGTGTCGCCTACGACCATCCGTAAGTCCATCCGTGCCACAATTTCTTGAACACTCTACAGCTTACATTTAATATCTGATCTTTTTGAAATTTATATATGTTTACATTAGTGAGACAAAGAAACCTATTTAATTTCAATAATTTCCATTAATTACTTCTAGAATTATAGTAGGGTTTGGACAAAAACTATTTTATTCTGAATTGATTTACTGGAATCAATTTTTCTTAGGCGAAATAGACTTTTCTGGTTGGGGCCTGAAACTTTTTCAAAATGGCGGCCAAGAATCACGAAAATTATGGCATTATATAATCACGCTAAATATGATTAATGATATGTTGTATGTAGGGTTTTTGTGGACGCTGAATCGAAATACGTGCTTGAAAAACAATTTTGAATAACCAGTCTGGTGGAAATCCAATATAGCTGTCAAAAATCCAAAGGCAGATTAAAGGCCTTTGATATTCTCGTGGCTTCATTTATCAAAAGTATAAAAGAACCGATTCTTTTAATTCTGACCTTTTTCATTAATCACTTTGTAAATAATTTCACAATGTATATATAACATGTAATTGACATTATCTGCTATATCACCTTAAATAAAGCTATTTCACACACATAATTCTGGCCTGTACAACTCGAAAAACTGCAAAAGATTCAAAACTCAGCTGCTCGCCTTATTTATAGAACATTATACAGGGATCATATCACACCCATTCTATATGAACTACACTGGCTTCCTGGGATTTTTAGATTTGAATATAAGATTTTATTATTAGGCTAGTTTTAAAATGTATAAATAACATTGCACCTGCTTATCTTAGTAATCTTTTATGTTTTTATAAACCTCGTCAACAATTACAGTCGTCCAGTGACAATCTGCTCCTAATTGAAAAAAATTCTAATCTTTCTCATTATTGTCCCCCCGCCTTGATGGAGTTCGAGGATGAGCATTTTCTGATTAGGGTAAGCAGAGATAAGCAATTTGATTGGTTGATGCTTTGAGACAAGATAACTTTAGTTCCAATTAAGTGAGGGTGATGAAACTTGGTGTATAGTTTCATTACATCAATACCTTGACTAAGTTCGATAATGAGCTTTTTCTGGTCAGGGTAAGCAGAGCGATAAGCAATTTGATTGGCCGAGACTTTGGAATACAATAACTCTGCGTAGGTATCTATAAGGTGAATGCCTTGATGGACTTCGAAGATGAGAATCTTCTGCTTAGGGTAAGCTGAGATAAGCAATTTGATTGGTTGATGCTTTGGGACACAATAACTTTAGTTCTAATTAAGTGAGAGTGAGGACACTTGGTGTATAGCTTTATTACATCAATACCTTGACTAAGTTCGATAATGAATATTTTCTGCTGAGGGTGAGCAATTTGATTGGTCGAGACTTTGGAACACAATAACTCTCCTAATTGAGGTAGAATGTTCAAACTTGGTGTAGTCATTCATTAGGCGAATGCCTTGATGGAGTTTGATGATGAACATTGTCTGCTTACGGTAACCGTAGATAAGCAATCTGATTGGTTTATGCTTTGGGGCACGATAACTTTGGTTATAATGAAGTGAGAGCGATGAAACTCCGAATATAGATTCATTATATCATTACCTTGACTAAGTTCGACTAAATTTTCTGCTTAGGCTAAGGAGCGATAAGCAATTTGATTGGTCAAGACTTTGGTACATAACAACTCTGCTTTTAATTGAGGTAGAATGTTTAAACTTGATGTAGATGTTCATTAGGTGAATTTCTTGACTGAGTTCAGTGATTAAACATTTCAAGCTGAAGCTAAGCAGAGCTAATCAATTTCATTGGTCGATGCTTTGGGACAAGATAACTTTGATTCTATCCGATAGAGAGTGATGAATCTAAGTGTATAGTTGATAATCAGTTTGATTGCTTGATACCTTTGAAAAAAATAAATGTGCTATTAATTAATATGTGTCATCTATTTAATTTGGGATTTCGTCAGTTGACATCAGCCTCACTGTTGGCTTGTTCACCTTATAATGACCTCAGGGAATATTGTACTTGATGTCATTATTGATGCTTATCTAAGTTATCTATTCAGATCAACCTGTTCAGAAGAATGTATATTGTACAATAAATGTAAAACAACTAACCTCTTTGTCAGATTTAATCAAATTATTTCACTGTAAATAAAGAAATCTCAAAAGTGATCTAAAATTTCACAAAATGTTAATGCATATATCAGATGACCCTCTTTGCCTTTGTGGGAATGCAAAAAAGGATTGTGAAAACTTTTTCTTTCATTGGCCTAGATTTCTAAAAGCTAGAAAAGAAACAATTGATAAATTTCCGATGAAAAACACCAGCGGCTGCCAGGCAGGATACGCCCACATTTTGCAAGAGATGGATAGAGAACAAGCTAAAAACAAACGGGATTTTTTGTACAATCAGGGCCAAAAATCCAGAAAGTTATGGTCTGAAATGCTCAAATATCAAAAGGGACTGAGATCTTTGGGATATAAAGTAATGTTTTAAGTTTCATCTAAATCTGATAAAAATTGTGACCTCTAGAGGGTTCACAACCTTCATAGCATACTTTTACACAATTTGCGTACAAAATGCGGCCATTTAGATTTTCTCGAAATTCGAATTCAACCTTCATTATGGTGGAATATTTGAACGTTTTTTAAAATCGGAAAAAAAAATTGTGACATCTATAGGGTACACATGCTAAAAATGCAATTTTTTTCGAACAATCAGGAGCCATAATCCAGGAAGTTACGTTCGGATATACGCGATTATCAAAAGGAACCCTTGATCTTAGTATGTAATGGTGATATATTCACAAGTTTTTTTTTAAATCAGATAAAAATTGTGACCTCTACATGGACCGCAAGCTAAAAACTTGATTTTTTGTACATTCAAGGGCCATAATTCAGGAAGATACAATCCGATATGCGTGAATATCGAAAGTGATCAAGATCTTTGGGTTATAAACATGTATTTCAACTTTCATCAAAATTGGACCAAAATTGTGACCTCTAGAGGAGTCCACAACCTTGATTTACCAGATGTTTACACTACATGCGTACGAGGGGCGTCCATTTTGTCCAGAAGTTTTGGCCCGATTTTCACGAAATTCGAAGTCAACAAACACTACAGTGTAACGGTGATATATTCGAACGTTTTTTTAAATCGAATAATAATTGTGACCTCCAGAGGGTCCACAACCCTGATACGCAATATTTTGACACTATTTGCGAACGAAGGGCGGAGTTGTGTCCGTCAGTTTCGGTCCAATTTTTACGAAATTCGAACTCAGCCATTCTTAGGGTGTAACGGTGATATATTCACACGTTTTTTTCAATCGGATAAAAATTGTGACCTGTATGGGGTCCACAAGCTAAAAAGCGATTTGTCGTACAATCAGGGGCCATAATTCAGGAAGTTATAGTCCGATATGCGCAAATATCGAAAGGAACCAAGATCTGTGGGTTATAAACATACATATCAAGTTTAAACCAAATCGGATAAAAATTGTGACCTCTACAGTGTTCACAAGCTAAAAACGTGATTTTTCGTACAACCAGGGGCCATAATCCATGAAGTTACAGTCGGATACATGCCAATATCGAAAGGATCCGAGAGCTTAGGGCGATAAACCTATATTTCAAGTTTCATTGAAATCGGATAAAAATTGTGACCTGTAGAGTGTTCACAAACAATTGTGGACGGACCGACGGACGGACAGGGGCAATGACAATATACGTCCACATGAAAATGTGGGCATATAAAAAAACAGCCAGTCCTTACTTTTCGGGCCAAAAAGTAATACATATAATGAAAACGCTAAAATATTTAAAACTGTTCATAAATACTTGGATATCACAAAACGTTTCTGTTCGTAATCCTACAAAATTTTGCATTTAAATTACGTCAGTGGGGCGTAAATTATATGAAAGTATCGCCTTCTATCTGTATGAAATGAAGCTTAAAATGTCATGATATTACTGAATGGTTACTTTTTTCCGTCTGACATAAGCCTTATAACGATTTAAGTAAATGCGGTTCAGTTCCATTAAATTTAATCTGATGAAGACGACAAACAAATAAAACTAATAAATAAAAACGTTTGTAGGTGTGGTGTGTTGATAGCATACCCCCCCACCCCCACCCCCAATTTATTTATTTTCTTCTTTTTTTTTTATTGTGTGTGCCTTTAAAGGGACATTCGTAGGTATCTGAGCTAAAAATAGTCTTACTGAACAATAGAAAATCTAAATAAAAAAATCACAAAATATGAAAACAAAAACAACTCGACGTTAACAAAAAATCACCATCGACTGCAGTGCTTTCGTGGTAAGGGATTAAAAAAAAACATAAAAAATTCATTGCTGAGTAATTTTACAACGAACCTCGCCTAAAGTTCTAGGACGGTAGCCCCGCCCGCCCGCCCGCCCCCCCCCCCCCCATCAGGAATTGCTTCCGCCGGCCCTGTTGAACCCAGAATTCATGTATAAAATGAAAGATATGCAATCATTGTGTCGGAATAGAGCAGGAGCCCAGGGGGTCAACCCAGCTGAAAATTGTACCCATATGGTATTAATGCATGCATATCTGGTATCATCAAAATGGAAGTCTGCCGGGTATCTGGTGGTGGGTGTGGCTGTGAGGGATGCAATACTAGGTATGAATTCTTGAGCTAGATTAGCTCAAAAGTGTACCACATGAAAATGGTACAGCAGTGTACCTTATATCTTCAAGTATTACAAAAACACTCTGACAGACATTTCTAGTGGTGGGGTACCCTTGACACAGTTATGTAATTGCCAGACCACAGCTAGGCTAGATTAGCTGAAATCTGTACCACTTAAAACTGCTTGGAAGTTGTTCAGCACCACCACAGGAATCAAGAATGATCACTGGCAGACAATTTGTGCGGTGGGTTACCCCGACAGACACGACGAAAATACCACGCCCCCCACCCCACTAGGCTAGATTAGCTGAAGTCCGTACCACCTAAAAGTGCTTGGAAGTTGTTCAGCACCATCACAGGGATCATGAATTATCACTGCCAGACAGATATTGCGGTGGGGTACCCCTGAAAGAAATGCCCTGCCCCGCAACTAGGCTAGATTAGCTGAAATATGTACCACTTATAACTGCTTTGGTGTTGTTCAGCACCACCAAAGGAATCGTGAGTGATCACTGCCAAACATATTGTACGGTGGGTTACCCCTAACAGACACGCCCAAAATGACACGCCTCGCAATTAGGCTAGAGTAGCTGAAGTGTGTACCACTTAAAACTGCTTGGAAATTGTTCAGCACCCCAGGGATCACACTGCCCATTGCTAGAGAGTTTGTTTGGTGGGGTTCTCCCAAGAGACACGACAGCCAAGCGCCCCCTCCCAAAAATTTGGCTTTATCAGCTGGGTCAGACTTATTGAGAATTCTGGGTATTACATATTTTCATGAGTATGTAATATCTATTAAAGATTAAACATGCATTATGCAAGAGCAAAATCTACTTATTACAAGTCTTTCTTTAGGCCTGAAATGTTATCTAAATTATCAATTAGACATTAATTAACTTATCCAGACCATAATAAACTCTCGATGTCAAGGCTAGCCTTCGATGTTGGCTGGATTAGATTCCTATATGCCGCTAACGGCCGTTGATAATTAAATCAGAAAAAGTGGATAATCGAGACTATGCTGTTTATATTAATGATTTTAGTAATGATGACCGAGACTATGCAAAAATTTTACCCGCTTCTTTCTCGGCTCATAGTGGATCAATTTGACTGAAAATTTCAGCAAATCACCTTTACACTATCTAGTTTTTAACTATTATAGCGAGAACTGCCATCTCTATCTTTTCTCCCATAATGTATCTTTAAGTAATTGTATGAAGAATAATAAATAGTGGTTCAACTCAGTGACCACTGACATACGAACCATAAAGTCCGGTTGCCAAACCCCATTTTAAGCCTTGTCATGGAAATACAGTCCACCTATGGTTTATTGGTGTATTACAGAGGCGGATTTAAGGGGCGCCCCCCCCCCCCCTAATTTTTGACAGTGCCCTTTTTTACTGCTGAAAGTGCCCTTTCTCAGACCCAAATATGTCCGTTCCCAACCCGTTGCAGGGATCCCAAATGACTCAAACCATCGATTCAAACACACCAGTCTGGTCTAATTAATTTTAATGAGTTTGAAATAGTCGATCGATGCAAGTATTAAAATGTCGAACATATTGATAAAGTAATGTATCGGTACAACCATAATTCTGTTTATTTTATTATATAAATGCCTGCCAATGTTTGATATTTGTTATATTTTCAATAAGCCAGTAAAATTAACAATCTTTTTTTGCATGCCGTATTAGCTGATATTCGACTACGATATCACTGCCGTGGAATCGCACGATAAATACATAAACCTATTTCAAACCAGCTATGGATGTGCTGACTGTACATGCGTGAAAGTCAGACTTTTTCAAATTCGCCGTGGATGGCGGTTTAAAACAATCACGGAGGTCGGCAGTTTACTCAAATTCGCGAAGGAAATTTAGAGCGGAATAATTTTGAGCTTGGCCAGAGCAGATTGATTAACTGACGTCGTCGATTTTTACATTTATATTTTATTATGCAACTTTATAAGTGGCGTGACTATAAAACACGTACTGCGTCTTATGTTCATCAACAAATACAAAAGACGCATAGAAGAAACAGCCCCGTACAACTTCCACATATAAAGACCTGTCTTTATACAAAGTCCTATTTGCGAAAAACACACCGGCGAATGAAAAATCGCACGGTAATTAAGTGGCGTGACTATAAAACACGTACTGCGTCTTATGTTCATCAACAAATACAAAAGACGCATAGAAGAAACAGCCCCGTACAACTTCCACATATAAAGACCTGTCTTTATACAAAGTCCTATTTGCGAAAAACACACCGGCGAATGAAAAATCGCACGGTAAAAACAATTTTCCTTCCCAAGTTTCCATTTAACACTCACGCGTCAGATAAAGTCGGTTGGTCCTTGATTATACCCTTTTGGTGCAGTTATAACAACTATCGAGAAAACACACCAATTAAACAATAGACACCGTGTCATTCGTTTTTAACCCGTCGGTTAATTA